CCATGACCCTGAAGGGAGGCGCTGTCAGGAGCAGGCAGAAAGGCAGACGCTGACACCCTACAGTGCCCAGGGCTGGAAGAGTTTCCCCTGAATGATTGTTAAAAAAAAAAAGAAAAAGGAAACAAAAATGATATCTGCTAATAGTAAGTCCTCATGCTCCACTGATGTTATGTTCACTCTATTACTAGAACTCCCTGAGGGTGTCAGGCATTCAGAGGAAATGACATTCTCAAGCCTGGGGAGCAGGGGGGAACAGAAAGTGAAAATATTTTAGAGTTCTTTAAGACGTTAATTTAATATCAATATAGGTATAATGGCAAACTCGCATTAATTACCTTTTATGCACTAAGCACTATGCAAAGAGTTTTCAGGTGCTCTAATTGTCACAACAACCCAGTATGGAAAATAATATTTTCCTGACTTTTTCAGGTGAGAAAACTGATGCTTAGAGAAGTTAGTCTTTCCCCTCAAGATTACAAAGTGACAGAGCCAGGATGAGTAAGTCTGAGTGACTTAGAAGGCTTTTTTATCACAGTTCCTCACATTCACCACCTTTAAATCATTTACACAAATGTTTCTATGATAGTCCTATGCCAGGCACCAGGAAGTAATACGAAAAAATGAAAACAATAAACTTTTCTAAACCAGTAAGAACAAAATGTAAATGTAACATCTCAGACTTAAAGTGGAATAGTATGTGGTACCTGGAAGGTCATATAGTTAAGAGTAGGAACTCTGAAGCCAGAAAGACAGGTTTCAGATTCCTATGCCAGCTATAGGATTAAGGGCAAGTAACCTAAATTCTCTCAGATTAAATGTGCTCATCTGTAAAATGGAGATGATAATGCCAAAAGCAATGACTCAACTCAGATAAAAGTTATACCTCCACGCAACACCATTTGTCAAAAATTACACTACCATCGTAACAATTCAAATCTAGGAGGAGAAAGTGTGGGCTGTAGAAGGAATTGAGACTACCATCTTGGCGGAGCTATCAAATATCTTTTTTTTTTTTTTTTTTTTTTTTTTTTTTTTTTTTTTTTTTTTTTTCAAGACAGAGTCTCGCTCTGTCACCCAGGCTGCAGTGCTGTGACACCATCTCAGCTTGCTGCCACCTCTGCCTACCAGGTTCAAGCAATTCTCCTGCCTCGGCCTCTCTAGTAGCTGGGATTGCAGGCACCCAGCACCATGCCCAGCTATTTTTTTGTATTTTTAGTAGAGACGGGTTTCATCACATTAGCCAGGATGGTCTTGATCTCCTGACGTCATGATCTGCCCGCCTCGGCCTCCCAAAGTGCTGGGATTACAGGCTAGAGCCACCACACCCAGCCTCAAATATCTTCAGTCACATCATTTAAGTCACTCAAAAGGGAAAGAAGTCCATAATAAAATGATGGGCCATAGCTCCCACACACCAATCTCTTTCCTCCTCTTCCTGGGATTCTTTTCTCTACTGTTAACACCTAACAGAGTGCTAATGTTTTGCTCAAGAGCAAGCTTACACTATACCTCTCTCTCTTCCCTCAGGATGCTACTGAACACAGCAGATAACTATCTCAGTTCCCTCCTTGACAAGAAAAACAACAACAATGTAAACTACATGAAACTCATGTACTATAATACTGAAATTAAAGGATAAGGATTTACCCACATTACAGACATCCTGTATTACTGAAGGAAAAAAAGTGTGCAGCATACATTTATAGATATAGGGAATCATAACATTTCAGAGCCTGAAGCAACAAAAGAAATACTAATCTAATCCAGCCTCCTTTTGAGTAGTCACAAGAGATATATAACTGGCCCAAAATCTGTCTGAAGGCCAAATTATAACAAAATGTCCTGAAACTCAGAAGAATTTCTACTCTTCTGCATCCCCTTAGCTTCTGGATAACAACCCCATGTATATCATGTATTCTTGAAGATTTTACTATGTTATAATGTATGTAGTTTTAAATATCCACCCATATCAATACCATTCTACATAGATGGAACTTCCAATAAGGCAGCCCAGTGAATTGTTCAAAATCCTACTGCAAACCATAAAATCAAAGACAGAGAACCAGGAATCAGGAGACCCAGGTAATAATTAGTCCTGATTATCGCTTACCAGCTTCTGGATCTCAAGTCACTTGACTTCAACTTGGTCTTTGTTTCTAAAACCATAAAAAGGAATTGGACTAGTTGGTCTCCAGGGTGCTTTCCAACACCTAAACCTCCCTAATTCTCAATCACGTGGCATGCAAAGTAGACAGAGGAAAACCAACACATTCATCATAAAAAGTCACAGGAATAAAAGAAATCACAAAATATCACAGAGGTTTTTTTTTTTTTTTTTTTTTTTGAGACAGAGTTCCACTCTTGTTACCCAGGCTGGAGTGCAATGGCGTGATCTCAGCTCACCGCAACCTGCGCCTCCTGGGTTCAAGCAATTCTCCTGCCTCAGCCTCCCGAGTAGCTGAGTCTACAGGTGCGCACCACCATGCCCAGCTAATTTTTGTATTTTTAGTAGAGACGGGGTTTCACCATGTTGACCAGGGTGGTCTCGATCTCTTGACCTCGTGATCCACCTGTCTCGGCCTCCCAAAGTGCTGGGATTATCGGTGTGAGCCACCACACCTGGCTATCACAAGAGTTTTAAGGAAAACTCTGTGTTGAAGCAATGCTTGCTTTGGGGTTTTTCCAGAGGTAAGCACTGTGTTTTCCAAAAGCAAACAGTTCCCTTTCTCCAGAACAAGGACAGGATGTTGGGGACATGAGTCATTCTGTTGACATTCTAGGTACTGGTCAGTTGGAGGACAGGAACCACATCAGCTTCCTAGAGAGCACAGAGGAAAAATCTGCTCCAAAAAAGACCAAAAAGGAAGATGTGATGAATGTCAGAAGGATCTTTGCTTCCCAAGTCTTTCTAATCCAGCCTTCTAGTTAATAATAATAACCAGCTCATTATAGCCAAAGGAGTAAAAATGTATTTCTAGAACCCCAGAGTCCATACGAGCAGCTAGATGCCATGGACAAAACAACCTCCCCATACCAATAAGACCACCAACAATTTACAGCCTCATCATCTGTTCCCAAGCACGTAACCTTTCTCTCTCAACATGTCAGAATGCAGATGTGCCATTACCAACTATTCTTTCCACAAACAGGAATTAACAAAGACTGGTAAGAACCCCTGTCAATTTTTCAAACTAGAGGAAGATGATAAGCAGCAGCCTGCAGTACTCAGGGCCTACTGTAGAGAGGATCTGCTTATCATTATGCCAAAACTCAACTTGTAGATAGATATCAACACACAGTGTTCTCCATCTCATGTTATTTTGACATTTGTGAGAAAATGCCACATGTGACCATCTCATTCTCCTCTTTTCAAAACAAATTTTATATATGTAGTTTATTCCATACCCACTCTAGGACAGTAGCTAACCACACCCACTGGATTGAATGATGCAAATAAGGATCTGTTCCACCTTTGTTGTGTTTAATGCTGCTGCCACTGTCACTACCACCACCACCAATTTTTGAATAGAACCCTGCCAGAGAACTCTGCAGAAAAATTAATCTAAAGATAATCGTTCTGAATCCCCTACCTGCATCAGAATTCCATGGCACTCCAAACATGCATTCACTTACTCACTCATCTATCATTGGCAATCAGATGACATAAGCACCCCATTACGAGTAATCTGAGGGCTGAAGTTGTAGGAAGAAAGAGAAAATGACACTATTCCCAAAGCTCATGCATATTCATTGTTTTTTCTATTTAAATTCAGCTTGGTGTCCCCTTTCTCTGTTAAGTACCTGTGAGCCACTGCCATGCTATGGGATGTGAGGCAATACAAGATAACCAAAACACAAAATGTTTATGTAGGAAAGAAAAAGCTTGTTCATTGATATGTATTTAATTGAACAAACTGATGACACACAGTAGTAAGAGTTGCATTCATTGAACATGCATTAATTCATTCACTAAACATGTGCTGGGGCTGTAGGAAGACCCAGAGAAGGAAGTCTGAAGATGTGTTTCAATGTCCAAAAAAAAGGGGGTCATAGATTGATAATCAATGTGTGCAAAGCCCTTTTACATTTATTTCTCTTTTTTTTGAGGTAGAGTCTTGCTCTGTCGCCAGGCTGGAGTGCAGTGGTGAAATCTTGGCTCACTGCAACCTCCACCTCCTGGGCTCAAGCAATTCTGCCTCAGCCTCCCAAGTAGCTGGGACTACAGGGGCGTACCACCACACTGAGCTAATTTTTTGTATTTTTAGTAGAGACAAGACGGGGTTTCACCATGTTGGCCAGGATGGTCTCAATCTCTTGACCTTGTGATCCACCTGCCTGGGCCTCCCAAAGTACTGGGATTACAGGCATGAGCCACCGCACCCGGCCCTACATTTATTTCTTACAGTCCTGTTACCTAAAGGTCATTTTAGAGACAACAGCCTCACAAATGTGAGGTGAATTGGCCAGCAGAGCTGAGACCAAAACCTTAGCTTTCAGGCCACCACTATGTGATCTGTCACTACTCCAACACTGGGCTGAAAGCATTACAAAAAGTCACAGATGTATTCTAGAGTGCCAGAAAGGAAGTACTTTAAAAAAAAAAAAAAACCCAACAACAATGAATGTATGCCAATAAAGGGACACAGAAGCCAAGTGAGGAGAGCTCCCAATGGCCAAAGCTGAAACAATTCAAACAAAATAAAGCGTTATTAGATTCTAACCCAAAGGATAAAATCAACACCCCTGAGTCCACACTGATACAAATGACTGAATAAGCAAATGGGGAAGAAAAGACAAATCTTCCATGCAGAAGATTTCCAGATAATTTACATAGACCCTCCTCTCTCAACATCCCACTCCTCAATTGTACACTGTACACAGTGACATCCTTCCAAAGAGGACAGCACACAAAGAGCTGTTTGGGTTTTTTGTTGTTGTTTTACAGTTTTGTGGGGCTTTTTTCTTTTTTACAGTTTACAGTAGAGAAACTTGGCAAACGCTACCACCGCCAAGTGATCAGGGTCAGCATGTGATAAGTCACATTGATGTGTGATGGAAATGGCACTTTACCTTTGTCATCTTCCCCCTCAAAACCCATAACCCCAGTTTAATCGCCACAGAAAACAGACAAATCTCAGTTGAGGGGCATTCTACAAAACACCTGACCGGTACTCCTCAAAACTGTCAAGGTCATCAAAAACAAGGAAAGTCGGGGACACCGTCATGACCAAAAACATCCTGAGGCTCCATGACAACTAAAGGTGACAAGGCATCCTGGATGGGATCCTGGGACTGAAAAAGAACATGAAGTATCAACTGAGGAAAGGTGAACAAAGCACAGACTTTAGCTAATTACAAGGTATCCGTATTGGCTCATTAATTGTAATGAACACACCATTCTTTTTTTTTTTTTTTGAGACGGAGTTTCACTCATGTTACCCAGGCTGGAGTGCAATGGCGCGATCTCGGCTCACCGCAACCTCCGCCTCCTGGGTTCAGGCAATTCTCCTGCCTCAGCCTCCTGAGTAGTTGGGATTACAGGCACGCACCACCATGCCCAGCTAATTTTTTGTATTTTTAGTAGAGACGGGGTTTCACCATGTTGACCAGGATGGTCTTGATCTTTTGACCTCGTGATCCACCCGCCTCTGCCTCCCAAAGTGCTGGGATTACAGGCTTGAGCCACCGCGCCCGGCTGAACACACCATTCTAATGTAAGATAATAATACGGGAAACTAGATGCAGCGTATGTGGGAATTCTCTGCACTCTAGTCTCATTTTTTCCATGCATCTGATACTATTCTACAACAAAAAGGAAGGAATGAGAGAGCTGTGTGCAAGGGAGAGCAGAACCTGGCCAAATTCATTCTAGCAGCAACCGTCTGTCCTGGCACCTTCCTACCCTCGCTTTCCTGCCTTCGTGGACTAGTAAACATCACCCAAGACCTTGAAGGCAGAATTCAGTTGAGGTCTCCATTTGCTCCTGTGAAGAGCTGGGACACACTCAGAGGGTAGGCTAGTTTTATTCAGTAACCAGAGGTTGATAGGCACTTTCTGCTCTTTCCCAAGAGAGAAAGGATCCTGAATGCCATTCCCCAAAAACACCAGGGAATGTGCCCGGCCTGCTGAGGAAAGACAGTTCATGCAGGCTCCCCTCCCACCCGCCCTCTGACTTAGAGCACACCTGTTCATATCTTTTTGTTTCACAACTATTTACAAATGAGAACAACGCTTAGAATTTATGGGCTTTTAAAAGATTAAACACAACATCTGAAACTACCTAAAAATAGTTCAGTTTTTCCTCTGCCTTTCTCTTTTTGGTCAATTTAATCACTTCATCAAGCACTTGTCAGAAATGAACTTTAGGCTCAAAGGCAGGAGAGGAACACCTGAAGAACTCTAAGAAACGGGGGAAAAGACCCAATCTGAATCAACAGCCTCCCCTCCACTGACCTAACAAGCACCCCTAAATCCATGGCCAATCTCTAAATAAAGATGTCAAATGACACTGTGAATGCCACTGACATACTCATGAACTTATTCTTTGATATCTTGCACAGAGTAAAGCTTTTTGCCTCCAAGCACTTCTTCCTTCCCCTTTCAAGATCAAAAAGGAAGAATTCTTCAAGCATAAATGACAGGTGGGATTTCAATTCAACTCAAGTAACTCATGGGCATCTACCAGGTGAAAAGGCAGTGTGCCGGTACTTTGCCTTCACAGGAGCAAATGGAGACCTCAACTGAATTCTGCCTTCAAGGTCTTGGGTGATGTTTACTAGTCCATGAAGGCAGGAAAGCGAGGGTAGGAAGGTGCCAGGACAGACGGTTGCTGCCAGAATGAATTTGGCCAGGTTCTGCTCTCCCTTGCACACAGCTCTCTCATTCCTTCCTTTTTGTTGTAAAATAGTTTCAGATGCATGGAAAAAATGAGACTAGAGTGCAGAGAATTCCCACATATGCTGTATCTAGTTTCCCGTATTATTATCTTACATTAGAATGGTGTGTTCATTACAATTAATGAGCCAATACGGATACCTTGTAATTAGCTAAAGTCTGTGCTTTGTTCACCTTTCCTCAGTTGATACTTCATGTTCTTTTTCAGTCCCGGGATCCCATCCAGGATGCCTTGTCACCTTTAGTTGCCATGGAGCCTCAGGATGTTTTTGGTCGTGACGGTGTCCCCGACTTTCCTTGTTTTTGATGACCTTGACAGTTTCGAGGAGTACCGGCAGAGACCACTGTACATCGCCTCTGTCACTTCATTTGGAGGGGTGAGATGTTCAACGTGAACTTTTAGGGAACTTATTAGGACATACATCTGTTTTGTTTGACAGGACACATTTAAATTAATAGCTTCTCCTAAAAGCATTGAAGAACTACATAGGAACTTCTGTAAAATAATACTTTTGAAACTGATAAATTCCCCAAACTTCCAGAGCTAAAATTCCCTCCACTCCGCCCCACACCAATGTCCATAAATGCTTCATGTCACAGGCCCAGGCCTGTTGAGAGCTAAAATGAAGTAGTCTTACAAGTTCACGCTTCTCCTAGTACAGGAAACTGTTTCATAGGATAATTCCCAACATCTTCCTACACCTAACTTTATTGAGACTGAGTCACAAACTGCTTGCAGCCAAATGAAGGCTCAACCCTTCTGCTGGCACTGTCTGCCTCCAATTCCTCCCTGGTTGGGGTTTGGGCAGGATATACATGGGAAGAAAAAAGAAAGAAAGAAAACTACAAAATCATCACCCCTAAACCAGTGGGGCTCAACTATGGATGACTGCCTCCCAGGGTATATTTAGTAGTCTACAGACATTTTTGGTTGACACAATTGGCAGGAGGAAGTGTTACTCATTGTTACCACTGGCATCCAGTGGGCAGGGACCAGGGGTGCCACTCAGCATCATACAACACACGGGACAGACCTACGACATGATAGTCAACTGGTCCCAAATGAATATGTAGTGCTAAGGTTAAGAAACCTTGTTCTAAAGCCATAAAGGAAACAAACTGCCTCAGAAAACAGGTAGGTAGAAAAATATAAGTTATACTGATTCCTCCATATTCTGCAGCATCTTCCTTTGCCCCCTAAAATTTAAGCTTTGCTCACAAGGCCCTATCCTCTACCTGCTTCCCTTGAATGTCACCCATTATTTTATTTTATAATTTATTGAGACAGAGTCTGGCTTTATTTATTTATTTATTTATTTATTTAGATGGTTTCTGGCTCGGTCACCCAGGCTGGAGTGCAGTGGTGCGACCTCAGCTCATTGCAACTTCCTCCATCTCCCGGATTCGAGCAATTCTCCCGCGTCAGCCCACAGAGTAGCTGGGAGACTACACGCGAGTGCCACCACATCCGGCTGGTTTTTGTATTTTTTATTAGAGATGGGGTTTCGCCATGTTGGCAGGCTGGTCTCAAACTCCTGAGACCTCAAGTGATCCCCCCACCTCGGCCTCCCAAAATGCTGGGATTACAGACATGAGCCACTGCATCCGACCCATTCTTTGTTTTCCAACCCACTTTCTATCTGTTGACATCCCCAATCTCTGTCCAAGATGTCTAATTTTATGACTGATCACTTGCTGTGATCAACCTCAAACTAAACTCATCAAAACAAAATGCATCTTCAAGGCTTCTAAGCCGATTCCTGTTTTAGTAAATGTCACAGCACTTTCCCCACGACCCGCGTTCGAAATCCAAGAGCCACTCTCACTCTACTTCCCCCTCACCTATCTACTCACACAGTTGTGCTCGGCATTCTACATCCGGTATCTAATACATGAAGAAACACATATCTAATGCATGAAGAAACACTATTAAAGACATTAAGGTCATTTTTAACTGCTTTCTCATTTCCCAGACTCCCAATTGAATCAATTGCAAAGTCTTACAAACTCCACCCCAAGGTGTAAAGGCACCAACACAAATGCCCTCCCTAAAGTCTAAATGACCTCATCCATCCCCACACAAATGGCAGATCCATCTTCCTCAAATGTAATCCCCATTATGTCACTATTTCAGTCCCAACCCCAGAAAAAAACTTTCAACAGCCTATCAAATCCTTCCACTGGCAGGTAGGTTTCATGTGTACGACACCCCCACCTCAGGTTCCCCATCCAGGCTTTTGTCTCCTACTACCTTTCAATACTACGAAGAGAACACTTAATAAGCTGCTCCTCACCCACATCCAGAGTGACCAGCAGCTATTAAAAAGGCACAGTGGAGACCATCTGGGGCTCAGACACATCTCCAGGCTTCCTCCTTAACCATCATTTTAAACATCCTCCCTCATCCTGTGCTGCCACCTTCTGCTCTTCTACCCTCAGATCCATAGCTTTCATTAGGATTAGTCACCTGCCTTCTGATTTCACTTCTCTGTTGATGTTCAGCCTCCACCACTGCCAAGCGGCAACGCTGGGCAGGGGAAGCCTCACCCCAAACCCCACCTCAGGTCTGGGATCCCAGCACCAGCTCAGGATCCAGGGGTAGTTTCTGGGATTGGTTATCACATACCCAGTATTCTTCAGAAAACCAAGGAAGTGATCTGCTGCTCTGAGGCAGCACCCAAGCGTTCCTGTCTCCATGGCTACCACATTCTTCTCTCTTTGGCTTCCATGTCTGCCTCTCCGCAACACACTCAATTCCTTCTATGCCCAGCTTAAATGACATCGTCTTCCTGAAGCCTGTCCTCATTTTCATACCCAAACCAAATACAATTGCTTTCTCTTCTCAATCATCTAGTCATGTACACCCTTTATAAAAATAAATACCATGTTATGCCTTGTATCACATTCATCAGTTTCTCTCTTTTTGCCTCAGCCAACTGTACAACTTACTAGCTGTGCAGTCTCAGATAAATCAATCGTCTATAATATTTCTTTATCAATAAAATGGAAATAATCATGGTGTGTATATCATAGCTGTGTATGGAAGACTAAACCAGATAAAATGTATACGTGGCTTAAAATAGTGCCTGTGCATGCAAATGCTGCCTACCATTCATGCCTTACCTCCCTCAGAACTTAGAAAAGCCTACATAGTAATTGCTCAAAAAATCAGTTGAACATTAATTTAGTCATCCAAAATTCTAATTACTAGAGACCTAGCAGAAAAGAAGCATTTCTTGAGGACCTATCAAGTATACCAAGCAATATATAAAGCATCTTACATAGGAGAATTTGAAATTCTCGCATGTCTTTGAACTAGATATCATTCTTATTTTACAGACAAGTACTTACAAACTAAGTACTTAGCTTCAAGTTGTATAACTCGTCATATAAAAAAATCTGTCGGCCGGGCACAGTGGCTCATGCCTGTAATCCCAGCACTTTGGGAGGCCAAGGCAGGTGGATCACAAGGTCAAGAGATCGAGACCATCCTGGCCAAAATGATGAAATCCCGCCTCTACTAAAAATACAAAAATTAGCTGGGCATGGTGGCATGCGCCTGTAGTCCCAGCTCCTCGGGAGGCTGAGGCAGGAGAAGTGCTTGAACCCAGGAGGCAGAGGTTGCAGTGAGCCGAGATCGCACCACTGTACTCAAGCCTGGCGCCTGGGGACAGAGCCAGACTCTGTCTCAAAAAAATAAAAATAAAAATAAAAATAATTTGTCTTTGGCTTCCATGTCTTTCCACACAGCCCACTCCTCCATAATACGGAATTTGCCTTATTCACAAGCTAGACAGCAACACAGCCTGGAGGATACAATAGGCAATACTACTTCAGCAAGTTCACGGGCCAGAGGACAACATTCTGAGGCTTTTATTTTGTTTTGTTTTCATTTTTTTATTTTTTAAGACACAG